TTTCCAAGCGTCCGACGAGGACCTTGGCTATCAGGAGCGGCGTGACCGTCTCCTTTGGCGTTTGCGAACTCTCTCCAAGTATTTGTCAAGGATCTTGGCGATTTGACAAGCGACGTGATCGCTTCTTTGAGAACTTTGAGCTCTCGTTCCAAGCGTCCGCAGAGCATCGGCTATACGCCCGAGAACGACTCAATCGCCTCCAGCGTGACAGAGCTCAGCACTTTCATGTGCTTTGCCACAGTTCTTTTAACCGTTGCATCTTGCTGGCCGTTGAGTCCGAAAGGACAGGCCTTCCGAAATGATGGAGGTCGTTTCACATTCGCGCTCGTCAATCTATTTCTTACGAGCGTTGCTCGGGTTTCTCGGTTTGGATTTACGACCCGAAAAGGCCGCACGAGATCCGTGTCTACTAGCATCTCGAACTCCGATCCTTCTGATAAGCGTGTTCTGGCATTCCTGCGTCACTGCCTCTCAACCATCTGGCGCGGCAACATTCTGTTCCTTCGAGACAGATCGGAGTCTAAGAGATCGTTGATTGACGGTCGCATCGCTAAACATAGTCCATCTGTAGGGCTCTTCATATTCGGGTGCCTCTGAGCGCTGCGTTACTTCTAGTTTGGTAACTGTTGTTTAAGCGTTGACGTTGATTCTTATTCGTGACTGCGTGATTTATCATAATTGAATAATCCAGTATTTTCTTCTCGATATCATGGATTATTTTGACGATCTTGCTCAACAAGAGCAGGCTATACGAATCCTAAATCGCACACTCTCTAACTTTAAGAAGTTAGGAAAAGCAAAATGGACGACGGCTGTAATCAAGCAGCGTCTCGCCGCTCTGCAAGAAGCATATGTGAGATACCGAGACTTGGACGTTAAACTCACTCGCGAAGCTCTGGCTTCCAAACAAGTAACACTTCCTTACTTTGTGTCCGACCAATTTGCTGAGGCGGAGGACACATATCACGAGGCCTCTGATTTCATGGCAGAAGCCCGTAGAGTAACCACAGTCACCGCTCAATATAAGTTTGATGCCAGCTACGCAACCTCACGTTAACTCGCATCTGCTGCGCATTAACTTGCTCAGCTTCGATGGCACCCCACAACAGTGGGAAAGCTTCCGCGATCGGTTCCGTTCGCTAATATACAATGACAAGTCATTGTCTGAAGTTGATCGGCTACAATATCTTCTCACCTGTGTTAAAGGAAAGGCTCTTCATGTTGTCAGCCACCTAGCTTTGACCACTGCCAACTTTGCCGTGGCATGAGACATTCTTGTATCTTGGTATGAAAACAAACGCCAGCTCATTACCGTGCATTTGCAAGCGCTGCTCTCCTTGCCTGCTTTGATCATTGAGAATTCCCATGAGCTTGGGAATTTTCGTGACGTCACGAAGTCAGCGATTCAGGTTCTAAAATACCTGGGTCGACCATTGGGATGATTGGCTAGTGTTGCTGGTCGTCCGGAAACTGGACCGCCAAACGCAGAAAGTATGGGAATACGAGCTCCGAGATTCCGTGGAGTACCCCACGTTTCTTGCTCTAGATAAATTCCTAGAATCTCACTTGCGGTCATTGGAAGCGCTAGCAGTTACACGCAGTTTACGAGATCCACCCCATGAACTCCGTCTGATCAAGAATTCGCGGAGCCAGTTCGTCGTGTCTCATGTCGCAATGCCGTCAAGATCCGGACGATCTGCTCGAAAGTTGTCGTCCCAGCGGTCGGGTCAATTGGCGCAAGACTGTCCAATCTGCAAGATTGCTCATCCTCTATATACGTGCTCAAGGCTTTTGGCGTATCCGCGCGATCGGTACGAGTTCGTGCGATCATCGCAACGCTGCTTCAATTGCCTGTCAGCATCTCATCGGGTTGATGGCTATGGAAGTTGCCGAGAGTATTCAAAAAGGCACCACACGTTGCTGCACGAATGTTGAGACACGCCTGAAGCAATCGCTTCTCTGGTGGCCTCCGGTTCAAGAGGCACTCCCCCAATTCAGGATAACAAGGTTGCCTCGCTTTACTTTAGTTCCGGTCATCGGTACATCTTCCGTCCTTCTGGCCACTGCGCGAGTGCGGGTATCTTCTCATTCAGGCCGTTTCACTCGAATCCGTGCCTTGCTCGATCAAGGATCAGCCGCCACTCTAATCTCTGAAAACTTGGCACAATTCTTGCGTGTGAAACGAACAAAATGCACGTTCCGCGTTACCGGAATTAGCGGAGCGCAGTCCGTGACACGACATACAGCTACGATTCGGGTGAGCCCCGATAATAAATCGGTGCCTTCTTTTACAGCGAATGCAATAGTGCTCCCTTCGTTGACTCAATAACGTCCCAGTCGATATAAGAGCGTCACCGAGTGGTCGCATACGCGCGACTTGCATTTCACTGACAGTAGGCCGTTCAATGCTGAACCGATAGACCTAATTATTGGTGCCGACTTGTACGGTGCAGTGCTCCGTTGCGGAAGGGTGCGTCGGAGCATCTTATCGCCCAAAACACAGTGTTTGGCTGGATTCTTTCCGGGCCAGCAGATCAGGACGCTGCATCGCCCCAACCGCATATTCACCATTGTTCAGTGGTCGAAGATGTCGGATTTGACCTCCAACGATTTTGGGACGTTGAGGAACTGTCTCCAGTTACGCACTGGAGCCCTGAGGAGAGTGCTTGCGAGGAGCATTTTAAGCAAACACATATGTGGTCCTCAAGTGGTCGTTATATTGTTCGATTCCCATTCAAGAACGGTCAGTTGCCAGATCTCGACACGTCTCGTGCGGTTGCATCAGCGTGCCTCCGGAGTCTCGAGCGACGTCTTCACTCCGATGCAGAGAAGACAAACGCCTATGCGGAATTGATGTCCGAATATGAGAGCCTGAGTTATATAGCTCGCGTTTCTGGTGAAGCTAACCCACCGAAGCATGAACCCTACTACATCCCGCACCACGCGATGTTCCGCGAAAGCAGCGCGACGTCTCGATTGCAGATGGTGTTCAACGCTTCCAGTCCTTCGTCCAATGGGAAGGCGCTCAATGATTTCTTGTTGGCGGGTACCAAGTTGCAATTGGATTTGAGTGCCATCATTCTCATTTGGCCACAATTTCAGTACGCACTTACAGCCGATATATCGAAGATGTATCGGCAAGTGCTCATTGATCTGCGAGACAGTGACTTCCAACGAATTCTATGGAGGGCCTCTACATCCGATCCAGACGAGGAGTTTCGCCTCCTCACCGTCACACACTGCTGCCGTCTCCGTTCCTCGCTATCTGAGTGCTGCGACAACTCGCTAACGATGAGGACGCAGAGTTCCCGCAAGCAGTGCCCGTTATATTGCATCAAACATATGTGGACGACTGCCTGCTTGGCGCAGATAACATAACGTCGGCTATTCAAACCCGCAATCAGTTGATCGCCCTCTTATCTCGAGGCGGCTTCCAGCTGCGCAAGTGGGCGAGCAATTGTACCTCGGTACTGGAGGATATCAATCCTTCCGATCATGGGCTCGCTCGCAATAAGGATTTCTTGCCCGACGAGCCTCTTAAAGTGTTGGGCATTTCATAGCATTTTGAACGGGACATACTTTACTTTAAAACAGCGACACCCTCGATTTCCGGTCTGATCAAACGAGAAATTTTGTCCACCATTTTTAAGCTTTTTGACCCACTGGGCTGAGCAGCCCCAGTGATGGTTTACGCAAAAATGTTGTTGCAGCAATTATGGGCACTCAGGTGCGGATGGGACGAGCGGGTTTCCCAGGCTTTACATCATGGTTGGTCGCAATTTCAGACGCAATTTCCTCGGTTAGAGAAATTCACAATTCCGCGTTGGACCGGACTAGGCGCAGGTTCTGTTCGAGTCGAACTTCATGCGTTAGCGGACGCGTCTACAAAAGCGTATGCTGTCGTAGTGTATCTACGTATTGTCGCGAACGCCAACAACACTACTGTGGCGTTACTCCTCGCGAAATCTAAAGTCGCGCCGCTCAAAACAATAAGCGTGCCGCGCCTCGAGCTGTGCGCAGCGTTGTTGCTTGCACGGTTGCTTCAATTTGCTAGCTCCACGCGTTCCCTTGTGGGTCGTGGGTCAACGAGGCAACGCTCCTGAGCGTTGCCTCGTTGACATGTTACTGCTGGACGGATTACACAATAGTGTTGGCTTGGTTAAGTCATCCGCCCAGCAGGTGGAAGACTTTCGTGGCGAACCGGGTAGTCAAAATTCAAGCGGTTACTTCTCATGCTACTTGGCGGCACGTTCTGACGCAAGATAACCTTGCCGATTGCGCCTCTCGTGGATTGTTACGTGAGGAGTTCTTGCACCATCCGTTGTGGAGGTCCGGTCCGTCATGGTTGCAACAAAGTCAGGAGCGGTGACCAAGCTTCACTGGACCAACTCTCGAGGAGCGCACTGAGTACATGTTGCTGTCAGCACATGTTGCTACTACTTCGGAACCATAGGATCTACAACATAGGTTTTCGTCCTGGACAAGGTTTTTAAGAGTAACAACATATGTCCTCTGCTTCACTCGTCGATTTTGATCGAAAAGGATCGGCGATGATACTGGCCCTCCTCGAGGCACTTTGGCATTAACTGCATACGATCTTCAGTTGGCCAACTAATATTGGCTTAAAGTCATGCAGTCTGATTCTTTTTCTGAGGAGATTGAGCTCCTTCTTTGGAACCGCCAGCTGGCGAAATCAAATCCGCTGTCGAGTTACAACTTAAATATTTGTAGACTCAAACGGACTTCTACGGGTCGGAGGAAGATTTCGGCACGCCAAGATTCCGGATGTGAGAAAACAGCCCATTCTCCTCCGAACACATCCTCTTCTCACGTTGATCATTCGATACTATCATTTAAGCAATTGTCATGCTGGGTCCCAGTTAGCTCTCGCTGCACTACGTGAAAATTTCTGGATCCTTCGCGCCCGCGCGACAGTTCAATCTGTGTTACACCGCTGCGTTCGATGCGCGCGTGAGGGAGCTAAGATCCCCACTGAGCTTATGGGCGAGCTTCCGGAGATACGCGTAAATCGCCAGGTTCGAGCGTTTGTTCACACCGGCGTCGACTATGCCGGTCCTATCGCCATACTCAACGCTCCTGGCCGTGGGCACAAATCTCATAAAGCGTACATTGCCTTATTTGTTTGCATGACAGTAAAGGCCATCTACATTGAGCTCGTAAGCGACTACAGCACATCCGCTTTCATCGCGGCATACCATCGCTTTGTCTCACGACGAGGGTTGCCAACCTCTCTATATTCCGACAACGGCACAACGTTCCAAGGCGCCGAAAAGGAACTCCGCACCGCCTTTCATCAAGTGACCCGCAACACGAGCATGCTGAACTGCGTCGCGACTGACGGAGTGGGGTGGCAATTCATTCCCCCTTCAGCTCCGCATTTCGGCGGACTCTGGGAGGCCGTCGTCAAAAGCGTCAAACATCATCTTCGACGCTGCATCGGCAGTCAGACGCTAACATTCGAAGAAATGACCACGCTCCTATGTCGTATAGAAGCCTCGTTAAATTCTCGGCCCATTGCCGCAGTCTCTGATCACATCGATGACTACAATCCGTTGACCCCGGGTCACTTTCTGATCGGGACACCGCTCATCGCTGCACCGGAGCCCAGAGTCGTAGCTTTCGCGCCTGATGCACTAAGGCCGGTTAGGTTTCGGGTTCGTTCGTGGTCTTAGCGATTGGGATCCCGAGCTTCGCTGGTACAGGCGAGATAGAAGTAATCGGTCGTACAAAAGAAGATGGCGTTTATTCGTTCCTTCTTACATTTGCGCTTACGTACTAGTGTAGAATAACGGACCCGGATTTATACGTTAACTATCGAGACGCTCAGTTTTCGGTTCAATCTTCTATCTGCTCGTCTTTTTCGGCTCCAGTCTTATATATCCTGGTGCTTTTGGTATGACTGACACAATAACCTACTTTCGTGGTCTCAGTCAGTAGAGTTGCAAGTTTATGTATTACAAATACTTTATGGCGTCAGCACTTTAATCGAATTGTGTATTGCGCGCTTACTAACTAACTGCAACATAAGGTGGAATAATTAGGACGCGGTTACAACACCCTCTCCCTATTGGGAAAAGAAAACGGAAGCACGACGTTTTCGCATTAAATAACTACAATAATTATACAAACAGATACAATTATATGTGTGTTCCGGTGACAGTGTTTTTTGTACAATCGTGTCATGTTGATGCTAGGTCCCCCTTTTTCTTTCATGTCGATGGGTTACTGCATTTGCGTTTTCTTAGTTGTTTAATGACTCATATGGTGGAGATTGTTATTATTAAAATAATTATGCAGCTCATCGTAGGGAAAATGATGTAGCTATGCGTGAATAATGGGTTTTGTTTGTTTTCTAAATTTAGACTTATATCTTCTAATTTGGTACTTAATTTTAATAATTCGTCAGGATGTGGAATTTTCTTTAGATTTAATTGTAGTATTTTGTTCTTGTGTTCCTCTACTAGTGATTTGGTTCCTAGAAAGGTTAGATTGTAATCAGGTAAATATGCTGGAATTGTGTTTTCCTTTATCGTACCAGGAGCAGCTAGAGTTATATCGTCAATTGTGAACTTACATTCCTGGTGTGCTTTTATCGATCCTGATCTTATAAGTTTGGCTAATTCTTTAACTTTTGGACAAGATATAGAAATTGTTTTCTCGCAGGGTGTCGAGTATAACCATGAATGTGAATTTTTCAAAGGAATAATGATCGTGCAATTAGTACTAATATATTTTGTGCTACAATTTTGTACGAATGATCATGATCGCGCGTATATTTGTATTTCGTACGATGATTCAGAATTTATTTGATATACCGGATTATTTTGTTGACTTACATATGTGGTTTTGGATTGTGCGTATTTATCTAGATCTTGTTCAGTTAATATCATATATGTATGGTCGTCCTTGTCGATTGCTACCGTGAAGTAATTGATATCGGCTAAAGCGAAAATATTGCTATGGTCGAGTATAGGTACAGGGTACAGAGTATAGTTACATGTAATACATCATAAGCGGGGTTAGGTGACTAGTAGAATCCGTGAAATAGTAAAAAGGTATCCGTTCCTATAATAAACGCTTACAGTTATCAGTTTCTTCATTTCTAACCAATTTCCTATATCTGTTGCAAATGGAAAACATGTCTCTTGTGGTAATTTAAAGCGAGGTTTCCTTAAGTTTAGCTATTACACCGGCAACGGGTGTTAAGTGTGGGTGCAGTACCCTATGTCTTAAATGCAGTAAATATTCTATCACGTTTTCTACGTCTCGCATTAAATCAGCAATAATCATATTTATGACAGCGAAATGTTCGTCTATTTCGTCCTGTACTAGTTCTTGAAGCTGTTCTAATTGAATTTTGCGCATGTGGTTTGCTAAAAAAAGGGATGTAGGGATGCGCTGTGGGGTAGAACCTTTCACCAAAAACGGTCGCGTCTGGAGACGTACCAACCTGGTAGTCAACAGATGGAGGTGATTGGTCCCCAGAGGGCATCCAGTTCTCATCTATGGCTCCACATGCCACATCCTGGAAACTGCATCGACCTGCAGGCTAAACTAAATGAGAATAGCCAGATATGGTGAAAAGCGTGGCGTCTGACCCAGAATGGGCGGCTGACAAGAAAATGCAGAAGGATTAGGGGCCCCACTGTATTAATAACGCTCTTAATAAATCATCATGAGAATACAATTTAAGGAAAAAGGTGTGCCATGCGACCCGGCTAGCAACCGGCGTTTCGAGATGTCCGGGCTTGGAAGTGTGAAATGGAATACCGGCCAAGAACAGATAGGAACCAGGTCTCACTTGGAAAATATGCGACTGGTCAACAAACATAATAAACATAAACCAATCAGGATTGCGACGTGGAACATGCGGACTCTGTTTCAGGCGGGAAAATTAAGGAATGCGACCTTGGAAATGCAAAGAATGAATCTGGATATCTTAGGAATGTGTAAAATCCGATGGCCTGGAAACGGACAACTTGGAACTGAGGGGGCGACGATGTGCTACTTTGGAAGCCCTAAGGACGACATAAAGCATAGACATGGAATGGCTGTCCTGGTGGCGCGACGTTTGACCAAGTATGTCGCCAACTTTGTGGCAATATCCGAGTGTTGCATGCTGTTCAGATAAAAGGACACCCTAAGAACATTAATTTGATCCAGGTTTATGCACCGACTCTTGATAAAACGCAGGAAGAAAGTGAGGAATTCTATGAACAGTTGGAGGGCTTGATGAATACTCTTAAAGACCATGACATCAATATAGTGATGGGCGACCTAAACGCCAAAATCGGTCAAGGATAGGTTGAAAAAATTGTGGACTCATATGGGCTAGGGTAAGGAAACGAAAGAGGAGACAGACTGTTACAGTTATGTCAGTAGAGACAGATGGTCATTATGAACACATGGTTCCAGCTACCACCACGCCGACTGTACACTTGGCGATCCCCAATGGATGATGCCCAAGGCAACATAGTAAGGAATCAGATCGACTACATTATGATCAACAAACGTTTCAGAAATTACGTCAAAAGCGTGAAAACGTACCGGGAGCTGAGATGAACTCAGATCACAATCCAGTGGTGGCGGGGATCCGACTCCGGTTGAAAATGCAACAAGGAAAACATCTGGTGAAGAAAATCAACACCAAAAAATTGAAGAATCCCGTCATCAGAAACAATGTCAAGGACACTTTGAACAGGAAAATCGCAGGAATAGACGCACAACCTGAACTCAATGTGGAAGAAACATGGAAACAACTAAAGAAGACACTTAAAGAGACAGCAATGAAATAGCTAGGCACTCAGATAAATAATAAAAAAGAAGAGTGAATGACTGACGAAATTCTCGACTTAATGGAGCAGCGGAGAAAGAACAAAAATGAGGAAGTAGTATATAAAAACATCCAGAGAATTATCAGAAGGAAAATTAGAGAAGCAAAGGAAGCTTGGATCAATGGAAAATGTCAAGAAATAGAAAAACTTGAAAAAAAAACATGACAGTTTCAATCTTCACAAAAGAGTGAGGGAAATGACAAACACCGCTTGGAGAAGGGTAGGCGCGGGACTGATTGATGGCGACAACAAACTTATTGTGGATAAGGAAGAACAGGTGAAAGTGTGGAAGAACTACATCACAGAACTATTCGGAGACAATCGATCGGAGGATGAGGACATTGATGAGGAACTGGAGAGTCCGGAAATAATCAAGGTGGAAGTGAGAAAAGCCTTAAGTTTGGCAAGAACAGGTAAAGCGGTCGGACCAGATAAGGTGAATGCGGAGATACTCAAGTTGATTGACATCGATAAAACGACATCCTCTTAAGGATGTTAACCACATATACAACACCAGGAACATTCCCATGGAATGGCTGAAATCCACATTTATCAGTATTCCCAAAAAATCGAACACGAAACAATGCAGCGACTATAGACTTATCAGTCTTATGAGTCATGCATTGAAAATGTTTCTGAGAATTATCCATACTCGGCTATGGAGGAAAATAGAAGAGAACATTGGGGAAACTCAGTTTGGATTTAGGAATGGCTTGGGGACAAGAGATGCCTTGTTTGCTATGCAGGTCCTGGTTCAGAAATATCTAGATCAACAGAAAAATGTCTTTGCATGCTTTATTGACTACGAAAAAGTCTTTGACAACGTGAAACATGACATTCTCATCAGCCAACTCAGGCGCATCGGGCTGGACAGTAAATACATCAATGTCATCAAGAAGCTGTACTGGAACCAAACAGCTCAGATCAGAGTGGGAGAGTACATTACGGAAGAAATCAAAATTCTGAAGGGGGTGAGACAGGGGTGCATTCTGTCGTCGGCCCTTTTCAATCTGTATTCAGAAGCAATATTTCAAAGCGCCCTGGATGAGGTTGATAAGGGGATCAAAATCAACGGCAAGCGAATCAGCAACATTCGATATGCAGACCGTGGTCCTTGCTGATAACATAGAGGATCTCTAATTGCTGATGAATAGAGTCGATGAAAGGAGTAGGGAATTTGGATTGAAGATGAATATCCGGAAGACGAAGATCATGATAATCAGTAAACAAGAGATTGATAATGTGGAGATCACATTAGTCGGAAACCGAATTGAGAGGGTGTCACGATTCAAGTACCTTGGATGTTGGCTGAATGAAAAATGGGACCCTGACGAGGAGATTAGGGTCAGAATCGAGATGGAGTGTTTCGAAGGATGAGAGGACTCGTATGCAGACGCGGCCTCAGATTTGAGACTCGGTGGCGTGTCGTGAGATGCTATGTGATATCGGTGCTGCTCTATGGAAGGTTGGACGTTGAAGATGTCCTCAATGAACAGACTGGAGGTATTTGAGATGTGGATGTATCGCAGAATGCCGTGGGTGGACCGGATCACTAACGGCGAAGTACTTCAACGAGCTGAGAAGACACGAGTGATATTAACAATCGTGAAGCAGAGGAAAGCCGCGTATTTTGGCCACATTTTTCAAAACAACAAGTACAATTTACTACAAATTATCATCGAGGGCAAATTGGAGGGAAGGCGCGGAATGGGTAGGAAGAGGTTCTTATGGTTACGAAATCTCTGCCAATGGTTAGGAGTTCGCAACGTGGCCGCATTGATTCGAAATAGGGAGGAATATCACATGATGGTCGTCAACCTTCTGTAAGGAGAAGGCACCAGAAGAAGAAGAAGAAGGTTTATTAAAATGTCTTCGTTATGACTTAAGGTAGTCTCTAGATTGCCTAGGTGAGCTATAGTAGCGTTCAAGATTTCGATTTGGTGTTTCTAAGAATGTTGTAGAATCTGTTGGTTATTACTCAGTAAATGTATCTGTTCGGTAATGATTTTTTCGTCATTCACATCCATTGTTCCACATAGTATTTTTGTTATGGATCCTATTCCGTCTATCATTCCACGTCGCAGATTAATCTGTGGCTTATATATTAGATCGATGCTTTTTAGTAATTTCGTTACCCATTCGATGTCTTTTCCTATGACGATGTACAGGTTGTGGCAAATGGTTCTCACGGTATTCCTTAGATTCGGCTTGCTGCATATTTTTCTTGTCTGGTTGGCGTATTCTTGAAGTCTGCTCACTCTAGTCTTCAGAGAGTGTATCTCCAACTTTACCACTAATTTCCATACTGATTTGGTTTTGTACAAATGCCCAATTTTCTCAAAGTAGATTCCAAGATTATGTTGAAATTCCTGTATCTCGTATGCTGGGTCAAAACTGGGTTCTGTAGCAGTTAGCTTTATCGTCCCAAAGATTAATGCCCTGTAGTTGGACAGAAAGAGGTGTTTCGGACTTTCCCTTTTTTTTCTTGTTTTATGTTAGTTACCGATGAAAAGTTTTAATCTATTCGCATGGGTGCGTACTGTTTTTCGTCCCTTTTTTATCGTATAATTTACATCAGAATTTTTCTCAATTATCTCATACGGTCCTATCCATAACGTATCTAGTTTTTTCGATCGTCCTCTCCGGACATATAATAACACTTTATCACCGATTTTAAATGTGACTTCTTTAGTTTTTTTGTCGTAGTATGCCTTGCTTTTCTGTTTTTCCTGTTTGAGGTATTCCTTGGCTGTTTGGTTTGCAGCTCGCAATCTTTTTTTGACTTCCTGAGCGTAGTCGTTAAAGGTGTAAGAGGGTTTGCGAGGCCCGCAGAGGCAAGTGCGCACTGCGGCAGGCCCTGAGGCCCGTGCTCATCAGGGCGATTCGGGGGTACCGGACCGTGTCGTACATGGTGGCAACCACCCTGGCCGGCGTCCCCCCTGTGGAGCTCCTAGCCGAGGAACGGCATCTCCTTTACTGGAGGGTAAAGGAGCTTCACAGGGAGGGAAGAATGTTGGCCAGGGCCCTAAGGGGTCTGAAGCTCCAAGCCGAGGCCCGGACCCGGGAGAGGTGGGAGGACTTATTGTCCGACCCCCGGGGTCCCAGGCCAGCGACAGCAGCAGCTGTCCGCCCCTGCCTGTTCGAATTGACAGGCAGGAGGGAACGTGGACTATCCTTCCGTCTGGCGCAGGTGCTGAGCGGGCACGGGTGCTTCGGTCGGTACCTGTGCCGGATAAGGAAGGAGCTCACCACTCGATGCCACCACTGCCCTGCGCCGGAGGACACGGCGCACCACACCCTGGTCGCGTGCCCAGCATGGGCCGGGGAGCGCCGTGTCCTCTGCGGGGCGGTGGGGTGCCAAGAGGGGGAGCTCTCGCTCCCGCACATGGTCAAAGCCATGTGCGGGAGCGAGAAGGTGTGGTCAGCGGCGGTCTCCTTCTGCGAGACAGTGATGTCCCAGAAGGAGACCGCCGAATGGGGGCGTCGGCCGCACCGGGGCTGCGAGGAGCAGCTCCCGGGCGGCAGACGCCCCCAGGGGGACGATGGGAGCGACAACGGGCTCGGGGCAGCGCCGGCCGAGGAGGGGTCCCAGGCCCGCGAGGGACGGGAGCTCCCTCGGCCGCCCCGAGCCCGACACCGGTCGCAAGGGGGGAGTAGGGGGGCGGCGAGACGCCTTCCCTGCCTCCCCTCCCCCAAGCGACCGGATAGGTAAGGACAGGGAGGAGCGGTGCCCCGGTTGGGGCCGGG